GGGGGGGGGGGGGTAAAAGTATTTTTGAGAAAACGGCCGTTAATTATTGTTTACGCTCCTTTCGCTGCGTCGCGAAAAACTAATTATTATTCCTTTTCGACCGCATTAATGTCTTTAATTAAATTTTATCATCCTCGAGTGATGATTGTGCTTTCCGACTAACGACCCTATCGGCCCTCGTAATCCGTTTGATCGTTACATTTAACTGTATTCTTACCTTCAGAAGCCAATTCGGGCGACGCTCCCATGGTGGACAATATCCAGACGACCAGGAGAATCCGGAGGTCGGCCTCCATGGCGACGGTCCTGCGAGACCGACCCGGTAATAATTTCACACTATTAAAATATTTACAAAAGAAAATATGTATTATATTATGTTGTTATACTCGCACGAGTACTTGGACGACGACGACGACGTTACCGGTAAAATATATATTTTTTTATTTTTGAAACCACGAATAAAACTATTCAAGGGCTCTCAACATACACTTGAGCTCGCACTCTCTAAGTTGCGGGATGAGACCACGGACAGTACGTTTTCACGGAGGCGGCCGGCAACAGTCCGGGGAAACGCATTGCGATTCGGCTGCGGCGTGTTCGGCAAGCGACGAGAGATCCGAGCGACGTGCGGCGACCGGACGAGCGGTTTACAGACTGACAATGCGTGTGCCGTTGCCATCACAATAGCCGTGACGCCCGAACACGCGGCGCAGAGTACCACCTACAGCTTACAGACTGCACGGCTACGGCCGAGATCATATTATTAACGCACCCTAACGAATAATTTTTTTCAATTTCAATTTAGCCCACGTCAGTTATTTTTACATGAGATATATTTTTTGACAAATAAGTCGTGTAGTCTGGATAAAAATTTCCCGCCAACAATTTGTCCAAATACCGCCAGTAAAAATTAAAGAATCAAAGTAAATTTTTCTTATTGTTTTATAGTTTTTTTTTTCTTTATATTGTGTTAAATTTAAAGACGAATACACTTTTGTATCAGTTTTGCCTATATAAGACGCCGTTTATTAAAACAATTATAAACATTGGGATGGTATGTATTATGGTTATGGTGATTTTTGGAAATCACTAACATTGTATGTTGGCCATTTTTTTACATCGTCTTCAAAGGAAATGTGATTGGTAAACAATATGAATGCAATAACCGTTATTTCACGAGTGCGGTGTACGTGTGTTGTAGTATCGATTTAATGTATAATGGTTGTATAATAAGATATAATAATATTATTACACGTCATATTGTATAATTTACAATAAGGTATAATATTAGATATTTCAATATCAAACCATCACTTGCAAACAACACTTGTGAATTTTTTTAAATAAACGTAATATTTTTAATTTACTATCTTATATTGTATGTAAATAAGTTAATTGATAATTATATATTGCAATAACTAACAAATAATATAACGAATAAAATTTGATTCGAAATTTTAAATCTTAATTTAATAAGATTAAAATGAGGAATTTATAATTAAAATTTATCAATAAATAGGACAAACAGGAGTGATCGCTATAATGTTATAAATAATAAAAATATATCACTCGTAGCTAATATTATTTCAAATTAAAAGTAATATTTAAAATGTTCAATTATACATACATCTACGTGATTTTGTAGTAATTTTTATGGCTTTAAATATTTTTAGTTTTAAATTAATATTTTAAATATATGTTTTAATTTAAAATATTAATTATTATTAGGGTTTGGAATTTTAGGTAATTATAAAATTTGTTTAGATGACCATCAAAATACCCAGCTGTTTGAAAATTTACCATAGGCATACAGAGTCATTCTCTTTTATCATGGACTACGTAATTAATAAAATAATAAAAATATTGAGAAATTTTATTTTATATTTTTTAGTTGTAGGTTTTCCTTAATTTAACTATCATGAATTTTATTTTTTTTGTTCATCACTTATTCATTATAGAAGTATCAACATATATTTTTCAAATCATAACATACATAATTAACTAGCTTATTCATTAAATAATGATCTAATCAAGAATATGACTTGTGTAATAACAACTTTTGAACCAGTATTTCAGAACAATTTAAGTAATAACTACAGAAAATATGCAACTATTTCTTTTATAATTTTTCAACCTTACTCTTACCGCATAGGTATAATTGTGTTAATAACTTCTAAAACATTGATAAATACTATTATAATTAATTATATTATTCATTAATATTATTTTTGAGAAACCTAATAATTTTGAAGAACTATGTACTCTGGTATCAAAACTTTAAATTGTTAATTAGACATGAGAATGTTACAAAAAATATAAGAATTATTAACATTCATTTAGGTAAAAATTGAGATAATTTTTATAGATATCTAAGTAGTTATTAATAAAAACAAATTTTTAACACTTCAAAACAATTTAATATTTTCAAAAATACAAAAAAAATGTATCCAAATAGCTAAATTGATTTAATTTTCATTACAAAATGTAATTCAAACATAATAAAAACAATTATTTAAGGAATGTTTAATACTGTTAATGTATTATATAATATTTATAGTCATTATAGTTACATAATATTGTCAATGATGATAAAGCAGTTTCTGCTGCTCAAAACTAGGGAGGCTAAGACTTTTTGATAACAAAATAAGAATAATAACAATGTAAAAATTTAGTACAATGTAAAATAGAAAAGATAATTTGAATATTTAATTACATTAATACAACTATATTCTAAATCGAAAATAATGAAACATTCTCAAGCCTAGACAATATATTAACATAATAAAGAAATAGAATAAAAAGGAATACAATATTTAATATATTTAATGTTTATTTTAATTACTATTGACTAATTATTTTGGCCGTGATTTATGCCTTCTTTGTGCTAGCTGACTTAAAACTACTGGTCCTAAATTAGGCGTTGGTGGCGATTGACTAACAGCTCGGTATGTAGCTTCCATAGCACCCTATGTAAATAATAAAAATATAACAAATTTATAACCTAACTCAATATGTAACATAAGGTTTCTAAGTTTGTAATATTTCACTTAATATTTTTAAACTGAAATTTTTAAAAATTGAACTAGTCCCGTGTTATTTACACAGGAAGAAAAAATTCCCGATGATATATGGATAAATAAAGCCATTTTATTTTCTGTGGTCTGTCTGGATATAGTTAACATATGATTTTTTAAATAATTTCTTTCATTCCATTTTTGTATAAGTATAGTTAATATACTAGACAATAATAATTAATTAAAATAGCATTTTTAAATTAATTAAATACTTTAATGAAATTTGACTTACTGTAACTTGTTAAATATATTTATCAAATCTATAAATCTAGATGAAACGATGCTAGACAAACATTTTATAAAATTATAACTTGTTTTAATTTTATTTTGAGTTAAATCTTATTTAAAAAATAATTTTACATATAAACTTTTTACTTAAATAAAATATTTAAAAAATTAATTTTTTTCATCACACAATTTTAGAACCTTTTGTATTATATAATAATGTTAAAAATATTTTTGTTTTACTTTTAGTTTTTGAGTAATATTTATTTCTTGATTTTCAATTGGTTAATTATTTTTCCAGTCTATTCCTTATTCTCTTATATGTGTATAAACTTTATTTTTTCTTAATGGCAATATACATATTTAACTATCTTAAACGTTGGAAAATATTCTAATTAAGAAAATTACTGGTCAATAACAACTTTTAAACTAGTAATTCAGGAGTTATGAATATATTTATACCTAGATGGGAGAAGTAGTACAACAGAAAAATACTTATTGATAAAAATAACATAACTCACATATCACCTCATGTTAATACGTTGAAAGTGTTAATAACTTTCAAAATACATAACCAAAAATTGTTATCAACTAGTAATTTCTTTAGCTAAATAATTTTTATTCAATTATATGAGATAGTTATTTATGTGTGTAACTATTTAAAAAAACTAAGTTGGTACCCTTATAAGAAATAACAAATAGGCCTAATCACCTATAAATCAAGAAATAATAATACCAAACAAAACCAAAAAGAAATACTCTTGAAATTATTATTTAAAGAGTAATTGATTAGTGAACAATCATCAATCATCATGTATAACTGCTCTTACTTTTATTTTATAAGACTCTTGTAATTGAATTTGATGAGTTGGCAATTTATCTCTGTTCATAATCCACGGACTTAATAATATTTGGCTAGCAGTTGGTCTTTGGCGAGGATCTATGTGTAGTAATTTTTTAACTAATTCCTATACATTAAAAGTAAAATAATATTAATTTTTTGTAGTTAGTAAAACAATAATAAAACTCTTAGGTTTTTAGCAAAAAAAAAGTTATTCCAGAGACTTGATCAAAAATAATTATGTTAAATATAAATCTTTAAAAGTAGTCTTCTTAGATACATATTGTGTAACTAAAAAAACTACTTTTTAATCCAAAATTTTATTAAAAATACAACTGGAATATTAAAATACGTGGTAACTTAGCGTTCAAGTACGTATATAGAAAAAAATTTTGGGGAAGCTAAAAAAATTTTTGTTTTAATTTATTCTATTTAATTTAAAATCAATACTATTTTTGCTGACTTTTTTACTCAAAGTTGTTCTAAAAGTAACATTTTATTAAAGAATTGGTGGTTGCATAAATTTTAGGGTAGAAAGCTCATGTTACTTAATACCTAAATATTTATAAAAAATTAAAAAAGTTTCATAGAATATATCTAAAATAATTTTTACACTTCTAAGGTATAGTCTTAATGAGTAAGTTACCTTAGCTTCTATAGAAATAACACTCCAATTTCCAGATTTTAAGTCTAAGCTGCTATTTCCTATACGATTCAAAATTTCTGAAGGTGTATCATCAGGACCACTAGCAAATGGTGTATACCTGTAAATTACATACAAAAAATATTGTAGGCTACATAAAATTCATAAACAATTTTTTTACTCACCCTGCTAACAAGGTATACAATAATACACCTAATGACCAGATATCACAAGCAGCGTCATACCCTTGTCTTTTTAAAACTTCAGGTGCAACAAAATTAGCAGTGTAACAAGGAGTCATTAAGAGGCCATTCTCTGCACGCAGTTGCTTTGCAAATCCAAAATCACATATTCGTAAAGCATCTGGTAATGCAATATCTTTAGCGTATAAAATATTAGAAGGCTTAAGATCTCTATGTACAACCTGAAATAATAAAAATTAAATTATTTACTTAGTAATGTATGTATAGTAAAAAAAAAGGACAAGTATTATTTTTTTTTTAGTACACAATATTTGATACTAATAAAATAAATAAAAACTACAGTTTCACCTGAGAATTTTTAAAGGTATTAAAATACAACATTTTAGCTTCAATGCGAAGAAGGTATTAATTTTACCATAATGTATTTTTTTATTTTTTGTGTCTGTCACTACTTTTTTTAGACTGATTTTTCTCAACAATATGTGAAAAGATCACAAATCGTATCTAGTTGAAGACATTACCCTCAAAAATTAAAATTTTTTTCCCTCATTCTCAGTAAATGGTGGAAATCCTTTAAAAAATTACGATTTTTAAAATCGATAAATTTCAACATTTTTAAAAAAAATTTTCTAAAAATTGCGTAACTATTGAAAAATGAACGAATCAAAATATTTTTTGTTTTTATAGATGCATGATATCTTTACCTATCATTTGATATATTTTTAAAAATCTGACCTTTTACCCACCTACAAGAGGGGACTTAAAATAGCGACTTTTTTTAAAACTCAACTTTTTCAACTTAACTTAAAAATGATCAAGAAATTCTGCGTCCTTTAAACATATGTCAAATTAAAACTTATGTTACAAACTATAAATTAAAAAAAAAAATTTGTCCCAACGACTTATCTTCTATGTGCAAATGGCAGTCGAAGTAGAACAAAAAATATGAATTAATTTTGCTTTAGGGATAATCCACAAATTTCTTAAAATTAAACACTATCTACAGATTTGCATTAAGCGTTTATTATGATAGTGATTATAATCATTGTCAGATATTATCTATACTTTTCCCATTATACTACATCCATACTGTGTCACGACTCCACTGTACTACAGTTTTTTTTTTAAAGTAATTTATTTATAATATTAAAAAAATGTAGTACAGTAAGAACTCTCCATAATGGGAATCTAATATAGTAGATTTCAATACTTATTTAAATTTAATAGTATTATATAGCTTTATCATAAAAGAATTGTGCAAATGAATGACTTAAAAAAAAAAATAAAAACATCTTACAAATTTTGGCTTATTCAAAAAAAATCAACAGAATATTTTTTTTTTTATTTCATTTATTGATTTTTTATGACATCGATATTAGCAGGTACACAGCATTGTTATTATCAATGATAGTAAGGTACATTGTTGTGAGTTTATAAATACACTAACTGACAATACAAAAAGTATATCTATTGATAGTCATAATTGATAATAAACAATCCGTGACTGTGATAGCAATATCATAAAAAACCAATTAGCTACCTGTATTTGTAATCCCTTGTGTATTATACCTATATATTAACTCAAAAATTTGAAACTTTAAATGTTTATATCTAATAAACAAATTAAGTTTTATTAAAAATTCAAATGCCATTTATTATTGAATTAAAAACTCAAACATTTTATTAAATTAAAAATATGTGTTACCATTTAAAAAAAAAAAGTTGACACCCCTACCAGGCATAAGGGATAAACTTTAAAAAGTATTACATAGTTAATAATTCAAGAATAATGTGTAACTAAAGATAATAATAAAAAAAAATGATTTAATTATTATTATTCTGTAAGTAATTGAGTGGGTTATACTAAAAAAATCACCCTGTATATATACATATATAAAGTATCAGTATTTTCGGAACACTTTCCAAAGTTAAGTTGAAAAAGTTTTACTTTCTATATGCATTTTTTAGATTTTAACCTCCTCTCCCCCGTATATAGGGAAATAGTCCAATATTAAAAAAAAAGTATGTCGAATGAAAGATGTATATAAATACTACTTCTCATGAAAAAGTTGTATTGATACGTATATCTTTCAAGTTATAGCAATTTTTGTTAAAAATGTATAATATAAAATCGAGAATTTTAACACAAGAATAGCGTAAGTTAGCTATTTTCACCATGAAGACAAAATAAAATCCGAAATTTTTTTTTCCATAATAAAGTATATTACATTAGCTTTAATTTAAAATATATATATAAAAGTGTCAGACTTTTCGGAACACATTAAAAAGTTAAGTTGAAAAAGTTTTTGTGAAAAAGTTGTCATTTTAAATCCCCCCTGTGTGCAGGTAAAGGGTCACATATAAAAAAAAAATATACTAAATGATATGTAAATACATCATACATCTTTTAAAAAAAATTATATTAATTTGGTTATTTTTAAAAAAGTTAAGACAGTTTTAAGTAAAAAAAATTTTAAAAATGTCAAAAATTAGCGATTTTTAAATTTGGAAATTTTTTAGAATTTTCCCCATTTACGGGGAACGAGGGAAGTTTTTTCAAATTTTGAGGGTCTTTGACTAGATACGATTTGTGATCTATTGACGTAAAGTTGAAAGAAATTGGTTTGGTGAGAGCTGAGAAAAAGTGGTAACAGACACAAAAAAAAAATAACACATCATAGTAAAACTAATACTTTCTCAGCTTCGCATTGAAGTTAAAATTTGGCAAATTTCAAAAGAAATTTGAAATGAGAAATATCATCAGACATTTTTCTTTTTTTAATCTTATGGTGGATTTTATACGCTTTAAATTGATAAAATTTGTGAATTCAGGTTATTATTAAAGTTGTCAAAAACTTAAAAATCGCAATACCTGTTGGAAATTACATGACTTCTAGACTAATAACTCAGAAACATTAAGTTATACAATATTTTTTCTTTTATTATCTTAAGGTACACTGTAGTATCTTTAATTTGACATAGTTTTTTTTTTTTTTTGAAAGAAAATATTTTGACATTATATATAAAATTGTATGATCATCAAGATAAATGTCTAAAACATTTTCAGTAAAAAATTCATAATTATCTTTCTAGTTTTCAAATGTTATTTTAATATTTAACTAAAAATATTAATACAGAATGTACAATAACATTTTATTTTAATCCCTTTAAGATTTGAGGGGAATTTTTTCAAATTATGGCACTGATAACTTTAACTAGAAACAATTTGTAATCTTTTAATATATTGTTGAATGTAAACGAACCTGTAGGAACCAAGTATTCATATGGTCAAAAAAAAAACATAGTAAAATTAATAACTTTTCAGCCACTCATCAAAGCTAATTTTAATTGGATACTCGGGAGAAATGAAGCACTTGGTATATTTTAAAGATAATAAATCAATAATGAAAAATAATGTTATTTAATATCTAGTAGACAATATTAAGTTACAGCAGTATTGAATATTTATACACATATATTGTTATGATTATGGTAACGCAATGACAACGAAGTTTTAGTAAAATAAAGTTAGAATAAATTTATTTTATTATTTTAATTAATATTATATTATTATAATAAAAATGATTAATTAATAGTAATATAATAAAATCAAACAGAAATAACTACAGATCTCTTTGTAAATAACATATATTACACACTTAGATACACAAATAAAATTATGATCGATGATAATGTTAATCAATATCAAAAAAATGTAACACTAATTTTTTTATCCTATCAGAATTCATTATGATAAATTAAACTGTTGCTGCATTGTTTTAAAATTGTGTAATATATTTATAATTTTTTTGTTCCATACTAAAAATATCATTCAAAAAGCTACAGTTTATCAAAACAACTATTTTATTATTTTTTTTTTTTTTTACGTGTATGTTTCATAACTACCTAAGCTTTCTCTATATTGAGAACAATTTAATAATAATCAAAATAACATTTTCAATCCCTCCTAACTTAAAGTAAAAAAAAGTTTAATTATAAATTATCCAGTTTTAATAATCTCAAATAAATTTTATTGACAATTTATTGATGAAAAACTAAAACTATTTAATTTTAATCTAACAATTTTTTTTTATTTCTCTGCAAAATTAAAATTAAAAATCTCAAGCAATAAACAACAATTATTAAATTAAAAATACCTAAAATATAAATAACTTACTCCATTTTTATGAAGGTAACATATTGTTGATGTAATTACTTGCATTATAGCACTAGCTTCTCTTTCAGAAAAATATTTAAGTTTATGAAGCCTATCAAGTAACTCACCACCTCTCATGTACTCCATAACTAAGTAAACAGCCTTTTCATCTTCATATACCTTATATAAATTGTAAACAAAAATTAATTTCTACATAATAGGAATACAATAAATTAATAAAATAATATTTTAAAATTCTTTTTAAAAAAATATATTAAAAATTCAAGACCTATCCATTCCTAGAACTAAATAAATATCTTGAAGAGCTATAGTGGCATTAAAACTATATGAACGATGCAGGGGGATAAAAATTAGACTTATTATTTCTAGAAAAATACTTACATCTCTTAAAGTAACTATATTATTGTGATGCCCATATCGTAAAAGAATTTCTACTTCTTCTTGACAGTCTTTTTTAGATTTATCTATTATCTGTGATTAAATTAAAATGATAATTATATATATATTAGTTTTAAAAAGACTTAATACAGAATATAAAAAGTTTTCAGATTACTTTCACTGCATACTCTATACGACTGGTTTTATGAACACAAAGTCTGCATGAAGAATAACTACCTCGACCTATTTCTTGTTTTAGCTCATACTCATCAGCTGCATTTCTTTTATTATATGGTAACTATATAAAATACATTAAAACTAATATATAAATATTCCTACTACATTTAAAAATTGTCTAATGTTCAAATTATCTACATTTATTTATTTAAATTATAACATTAGAATTCATTAATAAATAATTGTTATACCTTTGAATATGGTTCAGTCACTTTAACAGGTACATTTGACACTTGTTGATTACCATTGTTCTCTTCATCTCCAATTAAACAAGGTGCAACAAAACTAAAACCTCTAAACAACTCATGTGCATTAGCACTTGGAGGAACACAAGGAGAATCTAAAATTAAACAAAAACTAGATTATAGATTACAATTAATTTTCTGTATATTTTTTCTTATTATATTGGAATTGTGGTATTCATTTTACTTATAAAATATATTGTTAAACACAAAATATTATAAAGCTATAGGAAAATAAAAAGTCTATTTTCTATAAAATACTGTACAAACAGTTATTAATGGTTACAACAAATTTGAGCCTTTAAGATATAAAAATTAACAAATTATACATTTTTATACCAAAATTCATCTATAAAGCAGAGCATTTAATGGGTTTAAATATTGATTTAAACTCATGATATGTTTAAATTATAAGTCTGTTCATAAGAAATGTATTAATTTATAATAATATACAAACCAAGATTAAAATGTTCATTTGAATTTTTAAGTTTCATAAAAAGTATTTTGTGACTACTAAAAATCAAAAGGGCCAAAAAATTATGAATTTTAAAGAAAATACTCAAAAATTCAATTTTTTTCTTATATATGTGAAAAATTGAAAATTTTAGAAAAAATTTTAGATAATAAAACATCTAATAAGTATTTATAAATTATTGAATATTTAAAAAAAATTAACAATGTTTTAAGTATACTTTAGGGTAGTCTTAATTCAAATGGATGAAAAGGTGTTAAAGAAATTCAAAATGCATACATGTTCAAATTTATTTAAGGCTAAGAAAAATTAATTCTCTAATAATTTTGCAATTATTTACAAACTTCTACCATTGTCAAAAAAAATTGTAGAATGTAGTTGTTACTGTATTTTAATCTAAGAGGTTTCTTTTCCAATTGTTCTGAGTTTTTTTTTAAAGTTAATTATAATACATAATTTATTATTTTTATGTGATATCTACTGCAATCCATTTCTTTTTTAACACTTTATAATCGAATAAGTCTTGTAGTATTTTATGAACTTATAGAATTATTAAGGTTATATAAATTTGCCAACGACTACTATTTAATTAATAAAGAAAGATGGAATGTATTTTACTATAAATATTGAAACACTAAGACACATTATTTTTACTAATATCACAAAATTACACTCAGTATACTAACGACTGAACAGCTTATTGATTACTTGATACTTGATAATTATTATTGGTTGTTACTCTTATTAATTCCTAGGATTAACTAGTTTGTGCCCATACACTATTAGAAAATATTCCAGAACATTCATGCAATTTAGATTGAACCTTAAAATACAAATTTTAAAATTCCATTTACATGCATCAAAAAATTGTTCTACTAAATGTAAAAATAAACTGTGCAAAATTTGGTCCCGATAGGTTGATGTTAACATGTACCGCAATAGGGTTGAAAATTCAATTAAAAGGGTAGTTTTTCAGATATTGTGCTTTATCTCAAAATGTATGATTTTTACGTACAACTTTATAAGAAAGAAATTATACATGTAATTATTTTACATAAAAGAGGCCATTATCATAAAACTCATAAATCAAATATTTACCCCCTAAAAATCAAAAGTTCCATTAATATTATGTTTACTAGTAAAATTCATATATTTCAGTTATTTAAATATATATACAATGAACATTTAAGTTATAAAAAAAATTTTCAAGTTAAAGTTGTTTGAAATTTAATTTTCTATAAGTTTTGTAGAAAAAAAAATTGTTATGTGTTTTTTGGCAACGTAATAAAGAAAACTTATAAATAATAATCATTTTTCTATGATAAAGAAAAAAATTTTTGTTATTTTTTAAGAAATATAATATATACCTTTTGGAGTTTTAGAAGTAAATTCACTATCAAAATAGAAAGCATCATCTGCTCTACTGACTGCAGGTTTAAACGGTGGATGAATTTCTTTGAGATAAAGTTTGTCCCAATCAATTGATGCAAAGAATGAGTGGTCTTTTAGCTCTTGTATACCCGCTGTAACAAATAAATATTGATTAACTATCTATTTAACAATAAATACACAAGAAAATTTTATTGAATACAAAGTATATCACTCAATATGAAAGTGGAATTTAATCTTACCTGCACCCAAGCGATTACTAGGATTTCTTTTAAAAAGAACACGTAACAAGCTTTGAGCTTCATTTGAAAGAAATTGTGGCATGCCAAGTTTAGCTCTTAATATTTGAGCCATAGTTTCTTTACGATTTGCTCCTTGAAATGGTAATGAGCCAGTTAACATTTCATACTATTTAATAACAATTTCCAATGATCATTTAAGCATAATACAATAAAACTTTCTTTATAACTACCATCAAAACTCCAAAAGACCACCAATCAGCAACAAAAGAATGCCCTTTACGGTTAACAACTTCAGGTGCCATATACTCAACTGTACCACAAAACGAATAAGCTTTTTGATCATCTAAAGGTAGTTTACTTAAGCCAAAATCAGTTAAAGATATATGTCCATCAGCATCCAATAAAATACTACAAAAATAAATAAAATTTAAAACATACAAATAAGTGTTCTCTTTAGTAAATATAGTAAGAACAAGAGTAAAACTAAAAAATTATTTGTTATCATCATTATTTGTTTCCTTTAGCTCCAATCCCAACTATTTTGGGGTCGATTATAACAATTTGACAGTTTTTGATATTGGCTGATAATCTGATGCAATCTCATTATTGCTGAGCCAGCATGGAGGTGAAATGTGTGTGAATTTTAATGTTCCTGTATAGTCACTCATATAGATACCAACATCAAACAACGCAGCTAAACATCAGTGCTAAAATGACAACTGATTGTTCCACAGCACCACACCATGTCTCAGAGAAAATTATTTTCGAAATATAGAATTTTATTATCATAAAAAACTTATACATTACTATTCCACATTATTCTCAACTAATGAAAGGGAAAAAATATTCTATATATAAGATGCTGTCATTTATTTTTAGATTATCCTTAAACATTTTTTATAGATAATAATTTTTAATTTTTTTAATGTATTATAACTCAAATAATAATGGTATAATAAAATTAACATTAATTTATTGAAAGCTTCAAAATTTGTAGTAAAAAAATTAAAATATTATATATATAGTAATTTTTTTACATAAATACTATAGGAATTGAGGAATAAATGTAAATTACAATAATTTCATTAACACTAAGTGAGCTTGAGAGTCACTCAAAATGTTTAAAGTGTGTTAAGAAAATGTTTATAAAGAAAGAAAGAAAAGAGTTTATATTAACAATAATAACTGAGCTATAAAAAATTTATATAAATTGAAAATAAGATACCATTTCAACTAAATAAAAAAAAATTTAACTAGATATAAATTAAATAAAATTAATAATATTTTTAATATAATTTTAATTCAATTTAATTAATTAGTCACAAGTGATATAAATTTTTATAATTGTATTACTTTTCAGGTTTTAAATCTCTATAAATAATGCCAAGACTATGAATGTGATCAAGAGCTAATGCCAATTCAGCTAAATAAAACTTAACGTCTTCTTCAGTAAACATTACCTGAAAATTAATTTTAAAATATGATCTCAATACTTAGTTTAATTTGTAAAAATTAAAAAAAAACTATTTATAACTTCTGTTTGATAAAAAATGTAAATAAATCAATAGTAATTTATTTAATACTAAATTGAATACTTCTTTAGAAAGTCTAGTAAAAAGATCTCCTCCACGTAAGAAGTCTAGTATAAGATATAGTTTTCCTTCCGTTTGAAATGCGTAATGTAAACGTACAATGAAAGGATGACGCACATCAACTAAAATGTTGCGTTCCATTTTTGTCCTTATTCTGTCTCTCACTAAAATTTAAATTTTAATAAAAATAATAGTAATTTATTAACAAACAAAAATAACCCTAACAATAATGCAAATTATACAATTAATTGTTAATAAAAAAGATACCTTTAAGCGTAGCTTTTTTTAGAACTTTCATTGCATAAAGTGTTCCATTATCAGGGCCAGCAATTTTTCTTACTAAGAATACCTATAATTATTAATTATTAATAAATATTTATTACTATATGCATTTAATTTAAAAATTATTTGTATGTTAATACTTTGCCAAATGATCCCTGCCCAAGAACCTTAAGCAATTCAAATTGTGACCGATCAGCTCTTTCATGACCTTCTTTTATAAGTTCTTTAAGTTCAATTTCATGGCCATTATTATCATCCGAGTCAATAGTGTTTTCTTCATTATGATCATCATAGGTATCATCTACTATTTCATAATTCTTATCCACTTTAGATAAATTCATGTACAATCCAGTCGAGTTTGGTTGCCCAAATGGTATGGGTTTTGATTTGGATGTACCAACAACCATGTTGTTTGCGTTATTCAAATTCTAAGAATGTTTCATTACAATAAATATAAATAATAAATGAACAATTTTTATATAAAAGATTTCGAAAAATTATTTAATTTTTGATAAATAAAACTATTCATCAAGGATATTGTTATCCAACAACCCAAAAAAAATATGTTTTTTCAAACATTAAACTCAATTATCTTGGATTCAATATTTTTTTGCTTTTATTTCTTCTGCTTTTGGAGCTTTTTTATATAAAATCAAAATTAATATAATCTAGAAGATATGTACTTGAGTTAAATTAAAATCTTTAAATTAAATTACAGTTTCATTTGTTGTAATTATGCTATAAAGAAACTAAGATAATTGGTATTCTATTATGTATTTATAATATGTATTATTTAAGAGATTCAATTATTGTAGCTATATAATTTAAAAATAATTTCTTAAATTTACTTATTAATAAATGAAAATTTTTTGAAAGAGTTAAAGCTTTTATAGATTGTTTTATTATTTAGAATATTAACAAATATATCCACATCTTCAATTTTATGCTGACGTTTTGAATTTGTTACAGTTTTAAAAATGAACTTTGCAACAAATTCGAAACAGGACAAAACTGAACATATAGATATATCTGTAATTAATCTAGATGACATTTTTTTATCTTAAAGTTAACTTTAAAAACAGAATATGAGTAAAGATGCACAAACCTCTGGTTCCGGTTGTATCGATACTCGTTTCCAAGGATCGACTGATTCTCCAAGTCCAGCAAGTGGCATTACTTAACAATAAAATAATAATATAACGAAATATAAGAGTAAGAAAATGTAACAGTTGATGAAGGAAAATAATATTATACACTTTAGAATGAAGAATAATAACTTATATAAAAATAAATAATGATAAAACAAATCATATTAATGTTCTGTTATGATAAAACAACCAACAAAAAATGATCTTTATAAATTAACATACTACTTTTTATATTTTAACATGTAAAACAATAAAATATTTGACTGGATTATTACAATCAATAACAGTATACCTAATATGATAAATATTACGGACCAAACATATTTTGGTTAATCAAAATTACTAATATTATTATGCGTATAGCACATTAATCATATAACGTTGGGAGTATAATCCTCAATTCCAACCAAATCACAAACGCGGATACTGAGATAACTACGTTATCAAACTTCACAGGTGTTACGTAAGCTTTACAGTGTAGCAAAGTCAATAAATCATTAAATCTTACGTTATAAATACCATATTTCACAATAAAATATACATTAATACATACAAAAGTACAAAAAATTCAGTGTTTAATAAAACGTGAAGTTACCTTTAATAAATAATCTGACAATAAAATCCCAGGAAAACATCAGTTTTAAAAATATTATGATTTACTTTGAAGGAACGAATTTAACGTAGTAAAATGTAATATTATATATTACTTTTTCTAACAATTAAGAAAATTTAAGAGCTTTAAAGGAGCTAAAAATGAAAAACTTCTCAATGTTCATAAAAACTGTAGACTTTGTGAAGATCATATTTAGAGACCGAAATTGTATGTATTTATAAATTCAACACGCCATTAGCCACTACAAATTTTTATTAACTGACCTGATAGTTTAGTTATATGTTATTACCGAGGTTGCAATACTTCGGACCCTTCAAAGTGACTCAAAAAAATTGTATAAATGAATATAATTTTAAGCCTTAAACATAAGATTCAAACAAATTGAATCAGTCCATCATTACTTATTAGGAAAATGTAATGTCTCAATGTATAAGTACTAGAGTTTGATTCTATTACTCTATTAGAAGTTTTCTGGTCCTCTCTTGAACACAGGCACGTAGCCAGAAAATGTTTATTGGAGGGGCCAACAATTTTGGGCCTTTGTATCATTTTCCATAATTTGTTTACCATGAAAAGATTGTGGGGGGGTCCCTCCACTCCTTCTTAGACAGTATCCCATTCTATGAATCTTACAAGTTCAAAATTTGTGTTTATTTTTCGAAAATTGGTGGATTATTCCAAAAGTTACATGATCTGCTATTTCCTTATTAATATCCTGATTAAGATAAAGTATGTCGAATGAAAAAGAGATTATTAAAAAATATTATTTCTCATAAAAAAATTGTGCTGATCCATACATTTTTCAAAAAGTTATAGCATTATAAAGTTAAAAATGTAAAATACAAAATCGAGAATTTTTACACAAAAATATCATTCGGTAGCCATTTTCACCGTGAAGACAAAATTAACTCCGAAATTTTTTTAAATAAAATAGTACATTACGTTAGCTTTAATTTAAGATATAGATAAAAGTGTCAGACTTTCCGGAACATTTTAAAAATTTAAGTGAAAAAAGTTAATTTTTTGTGAAAAAGTTGTCATTTTAAATCCCCCCCGTGGGCAGGTAAAGGGTCAGATTTATAAAAAAAATATATCAAATGAAAAGTAACGATATCATACATCTTTATAAAAAAGTTATGGCAATTTTTGAGGGTAATGTCTTCGACTAGATACGATTTGTGATCTTTTGACGTATTACTGAAAGAAATGGGTTCAGTGAGAGCTGAGAAAAAGTGGTAACAGACACAAAAAAAAACACACCATAGTAAAAATAATACCTTCTCAGCTTTGCATCGAAGCTAATAAAATAATGATATGAACATAAGCTGATTTAATTTTTCAACTTTTAAGCTATTAAGAAAAAATAATTTATTCCTAAATACTAATAACAATTAAGTTATAAAAAATTTTAAAATAAATATAAATTATAAACAATGTAAAATTTATTTTATTTAAAATTAAAAACAATTCCTGCCTTTTTTTAGTCATATTTTCATTACTATTGTTTAGAGCACGCAAATAACAAATTAACAAAAACAAATAAATTACCTATTGTAACTACTAAATTATAAAAAAAGAAACAAATTAAAGATAAGATTTATCAAAAAAATTTTATAGAGTATACTCTATCGAATTTTGTAATCAACTAGATTCTAATCAATGCAGATACTTGGTAGTTTGTTATCATTTGTTAGACCAGAGTTAAAAAAAATTTACCTACAACCACGTTTGGAGTAATTGCTATTCCATTTATTATTACGTCTAGAACGTTATCTTTTTCAAATAACGTTTTCTATGAATATAAAAATGAAAATACAGCCATAATAATAACTGTATTACTCAATAGTAATCACAAATGAATAATAATTTCAATGTATATAAGGCCTAGCACGTTTTTGATAATTCGTAAAAATAATTGAATTTTAAATTTGGGGGGGCCGGCTCTGGGCCACATTAAATTTAAGGGGGGCCAGGCCCACCCTTGTCTACGTGCCTGCTTGAACAAGCAATATCTCTTATAAGAAGACTTACTTTGTAATATCATAGTAAAAAGTCATTACAAATTACAATAATTGAATTATAGTTGTCATAGTTGTGATAAAAATAAAAACAACAAAAATTTTCATTTATTAAAAAAAAAAATCTACATTGAGCAAGCTAATTTGATATGACAATCGATTTGTAATCATATTCAAACGGAATTTAAAATAAATAGTCTACAATAAAAGATAAATATAGTATTAAAGTACCTTAACATACGTTTTTATAATTCTGTAAAATCATTTTTAAAAAAACTTCATTTGATTTGAAAATATAATTATATATATATTATATTAACTTCGATGCGAAGCTGAAAAGGTATTGGTTTTACTATGATGGGTTTTTTTTTTGTATGTCTGTTACCACTTTGTGTCTGTTACATTTACTCAGCTCTCACCGAACCGATTTCTTTCAATAATACGTCAAAAGATCACAAATCATTTCTAGTTGAAGACATTACCCTCAAAAATAGAAAAAATTCCATTGTTCCACGTAAAAGTGGGAAACCTCCTAAAAAAATTACAAATTTAAAAATCGCTAATTCTCGAAATTTTTTCAATTTTTTTACTTAAAATTGCTTTAAAACAATATATTTTTTTTATATAGATGCATGATATCATTACCTTTTATTTGGTATATTTTTTTTATAAATCTGACCCTAGACCTGCCCACAGGGGGGAATTCAAAATGACAACTTTTTCACAAAAAATTTATTTTTTCAACTTAACTTTTGAAATTGTTCCTGAAACTCTGACACTTTTATATATATCTTAAATTAAAGCTAATGTAATGCACTTTATCATAAAAAAAAAAAATTTTAGATTTTATTTTGTCTTCACAGTTAAAAATGATGCCTACCAAATGCTATTTTTGTGTGAAAATTCTCGATTTTGTATTTTACATTTTTAACTTTATTATGCTATAACTTATTGAAAAATGTATGGATTAACACAATTTTTTTATGAGAAATAATATTTATATCCCTCTTTTATTCGACGTACTTTTATTAAAAATAAATCCATTTCCCTTTATATATTTATATATTAAAAATAAATATACATATAGTAATCCAAATAACTAAATTACTTTATAATAGTTTTTATTATAATAATTGTTATTAAAAACTATA